GGCGAATGGGACGATTTTTGTTTTTGGGAGCCCTCTTGGGACGCCTCCTGGGGGCCTCTTGGGGCGTCTCGGGGGCATCTTGGGCCGTCTGGGGGCCATCTTGGGCGTCTTGGAACGATCCATCGACTGCTCGGGGCCCTCTTGGACCATTTTGTGGGCCCTCATGGCCCGTCGTGAGGCCCGTGGAGCGTTCAGCTGGGGCCGGCCAGACCCCCTACCCCCTCCAAACCGACCGGATTGGGCCACTGGGGGAGGGGTTTTGGGGAGGGGGAAGCATCTCACACGCCGATGACCCCAAGGGGTCGGCGGGTCCTGGGGATGCTGAGGACGATGACGATGCTTATCATACTGATGACGATGCTGATGACGCTGATGACGCTGATGATGATGATGACGACGACGATGATGACGCTGATACTGATACGGATAACTGATACTGATGACGGTGAGGATGATGCTGATTGTGATGATGATGATTGTGATGATTCTGATGATGCTGGTTATGCTGATCATGATTATGACGATGCCGATTCCGATGACGATTATATAGCACCCCGCAATTGCGGATAAGAGTGAGGGGGCGGGCGCGGGCGACGCGGGCGTCGTCAAGCCGGCGGACCTCGTGGCCCCCACCTTCCTTGTCGATGGCGCTCTCCTCCTCCTCCTCCTTCTCCTCCTCCTCCTCCTCCTCTTCCTCCTCCTCCTCCGCCTCCTACTCCTCCTCCTCTTCCTCGTCCTCGTCCTCGTTCTCATCGTCATCGTCGTCCTCCTCCTCCACCTCGTCCTCCTCCTCCTCCGCTTCTTCCTCGTCCTCCCTCTCCCCCCCTCGTCCTTCCATCATCGTCCTCCCATTGTCGTCATGTTCCTCCTCGTCGTCCTCCTCCTCTTCCCCCCCTCCCGATCCTCCACCCTCCTCCTTTCGTCGTCGTCGTCGTCGTCGACGTCATCGTCGTCGTCCCCTCCCTCCTCCTCCTCCTCCTCCTCCTCCTGCTGCTCCTCCTCCTCCTCCTCCTGCTGCTCCTCCTCCTCCTCCTCCTCCTCCTCCTCCTCCTCCTCCCCCTCCTCGTCCTCCTGCAAAAGCAGCCCGCCGCAGGCGCCGAAAAAATTGGTTTGTACACTGAACGTGGTTTGGGTCGCGGGTGGGCCGCGGGTTCTCCACCGGGAACGAATGCAAAAAATGCTCGCCGCAGGCGCCGAAAAAATTGGTTTGTACCCTGAACGTGGTCGCGGGTGGGCCGCGGTCTCTCCACCTAGAACGATTCAAAAGATGCCCGCCGCAGGCGCCGAAAAATGTGGTTTGTACCCTGAACGTGGTTTGGGTCGCGGGTTGGTCGCGAGTTGATCGCGGGGTGGGTCGCGGGCTCTCCACCTGGAAGGAATGCAAAAAAAGCCCGCCGCAGGCGCCGAAAATGTTGGTTTGTACCTTGAACGTGGTTTGGGTCGAAGGTGGGTCGCGGGTGGGTCGCGGGGTGAGTCGCGGGTGGGTCGCGGGTGGGTCGCGGGTGGGTCGCGGGCGGGTCGCGGGTGGGTCGCGGGGTGGGCCGCGGGCGGGTCGCGGGGTGGGTCGCGGGTGGGTCGCGGGTGGGTCGCGGGGTGGGCCGCGGGGTGGGTCGCGGGTCGCGGGTGGGTCGCGGGTGGGTCGCAGGGTGGGTCGCAGGGTGGGTCGCGGGGTGGGTCGCGGGGTGGGTCGCGGGGTGGGTCGCGGGTGGGTCGCGGGTGGGTCGCGGGTGGGTCGCGGGGTGGGTCGCGGGTGGGTCGCGGGGCGGGTTGCAGGTGGGACGACGACAACAAACAACAACAACAACAAACAACAACAACAACAACACGAATCCGCACCGCGGAATCTCACTTCAGCCACGCACCCAGGGACAATGAATGACCGTTCGGCCCCCTCACTCTGATGATAACGATGATAATGATTATGATACTGGTGATTCTGCTGCTGATGATGATGATGATGATTATGATCGTGATGCGAGTGCTGATCATGATGATGATGATGATGATGATGATGATGATGATGATGATGAGGATGATGCTGACGATGATGCTGATGATCATCATCATGGTGTTGGTGATGAGGATGGTGAAGCTGATGATGATGACGATGAGGATGAGGATGGGAATGAGGATGATGCTGGTGATGGTGATGGTGATGATGATGACGACGATGACGATGACGATGACGATGACGATGATGATGATGATGATGATGATGATGCTGATGATGATGATGATGATGATGATGATGATGATGCTGATGATGATGATGTTGATGATGATAACGACGATGCTGTTGCTGATGTTGATGATGATGCTGATGCTGATGGTGATTACGGTGCTGATGATGACGATTATGTTGATGATGATGATTGTGGTGTTTGTGGTGATCATGATGGTGGTCGTGATGATGATGATGATGGTGGTGCTGATGCTGATGATGATTCTGATTATGAGTAAGGATGATGCTGATAATGCTGATGATGAGGATGATGATGATGATGATGATGATGACGATGCTGCTGATGAGGATGATGACGGGGTTGATGATGATGATGCTGATGATGCAGATTCTGCTGTTGATGTTGACGATGCTGATGATGCTGATGCTGATGATGATGCTGATGTTGATGATGATGGTGATGATGCTGATGCTGATGCTGACGATGATGATGATGATGATGATGATGATGATGATGATGATGATGATGATGATGATGATGATGATGATGATTATGATGATGATGATGATGATGATGATGATGATGATACTGCTGACGATGATGATGCTGATGATGATGATGCTGATGATTATGACGATGATGATGACGATGACGATGAGGATGATGATCATGATAATTATGCTGATGCTGATGCTGGTGCTGCTGCTGATGATGATGATGGTGATTGTGAGGCTGCTGCTGAAGATGATGATGCTGATGATGACGACGATGATGCTGATGCTGATGCTGATGCTGATGCTGATGCTGATGATGATGCTGATGCTGATGATGATGATGATGATGATGATGATGATGATGATGATGATGATGATGATGATGATGATGATGATGATGATGAGGAGGAGGAGGAGGAGGAGGAGGATGATGATAGGAGGTGGCGGAGGAGGAGGAGAACGATGATGAGGAGGAAGAAGAAGAGGGAGAGGAGGAGGAGAAGGAGGAGGAGGAGAAGAGGAGGAGGAGAAGGGGCAGGATCAGGGTGGAGGAGGAAGAGGAAGGCCATCACATGTGACAGCCTCAACTTCACTGTTGGAGGAGCCCTCGCGGAGCTCGTCTGGGCCGTCCTGGGGGCAGTTTTGGCCTCCTGTGAGGCAGCCTCGGGGTTTCTTGGCTTCAAGGGGCCGTCTTGGGGCCCTCTTTACGCTGTCGTGAGGCTTTCTTGGGGCCGCCTTGGGGCCCCTCTTGGCCGCATGGATGGGTGCCTGGGCCCGCCGAGTGGCCAAACCTTGGCGCCGTCTTGGGGCCGTCGGGGAGGGCCTTCTAAGAGGCCGTCTTGTGTCCCACGGGAGGCCCTCGTGGTCCGTCTTGGGGCCGTCTTGTCGTCTTGTCTCGTCGCTCCGTCGCCTCCCCTCTCGTTTCCTGTCCTCCCGCTTTGTCGTTTCTGCGCTTTGGGGTTGTCGTTGCGTCCCCCCTCGGCCTCGTCTTCCTCCTCCTCTCCCTCGTTCCCTCGTCGCCCTCCAAAAAAAACGAAATCCGTCGTAACGCTCGGCGGGTGAAAAAAAAAAATGGATGCCTCTTGGGCCATCGTGTTTTTTTGGGCCACCCTGGGATTCTGCTCAGGGCCTCCTGGGCCGTGTTGGAGCCACTGTGGAGGCTTCTTGGGCCGTCTGGAGCAGATGGCGGTCCGAAGTGGCGAGAGTGCGGAACCCTTTTTGATTCTCTTGTGGCACCTCTGGGCCCTCTTGGAGGAATCCTGGGCCGTCTTGGAGCCATTTTCGGCCGCCTCGGGGCCATTTGGGGCTGTCTTCGAGGCATCTTGGGACATCTTGGTGTCCTTGGTTGCCTGCATGGGCCGCCTTGGAAGCTCAAGACGCACGTCAATAGTTTTTAATCAGGGATCCTGGCCTCGGGATGGCGGCTCCACTGTTTTTTGACAAGGGATCCTGGCCTCGGGAGGAGGGGATGCATGCAGCTAGCTGCTGGTAGAGGGAGGGGGGGTCCTGGACTAAGGTTCAGAAATCAGGCGATCGCAAACATGGATCAAGGGGGCGTGGATTAGCGACGGGTCCCGTTACCATGGGGAATTGCAGATTTCCGCCGCTGGACGAGGCGGCATTGGCCGGATTTTGGGGAGGGCACCTCCTCCCGATCCATGTATGCGCGCTCCCGAGATTAAAGTTCAGAAAATCCTACCAGAGAACACTTGGCATTCTTCCACGCCTCCACGCGCCAGGGGGCACGGTGGCGGATGAACTAGGCCTTCACGGTTTCGGTGTGACAGTGTTGCATACACCATGCTTGTCTAGAGCAGGGCTGGACCCAAACACTGTTTTGCTGGACTTCGGCTGTGCTTTGTTTATCGTTTTGGCAGGGAGGTGCAGGAAAACAGGTAGAACAAAACGAAAAGCAAAACGAACACAAAACAAAAAACAACGTTTGGGTCCAGCCCTGCCATGAAGTCCTCGTGAGCTCGTGGCCCCGGTGCCTGGGGCCTGGTGGGTCTTGTACGAGTGCGTCGAGCGCGTCTCGCTGACCACCTACGCCGTGATCCGCGAGACGCGCCTGATCTGGGCCGCGCTCATCTGGACGGCAGTGTTCGGGCTCCCCCTGTCCAGGATGAGGTGGCTGGGCATGGGCGGCATCATCTGGGGAGGCTGGAAAACCGCGTAGACTTACGTCGGGCGTGTCCCTCTACAGGAGGAATTTTCAAAAATAGTCCAGACTAGTCTGGGGACGATTTTCTGACTGGTCTTGATCACTTCTGGAGTACTCTTTCTGACTGTTTCTTATTCTTTGTCCAGAATCCGCGCCTGTAGG